GGGGGCCCAAGGTGGGCTTCCTGGGCCTAGGGCTGTTGGGCCAGGGTTTCCACATGTCAACAGTTGCGGCACCAGGGACCAAGCAGGCCTGGCGACTCCTCCCCGTGGGCTCCCTGACTCCCCCAATGGCTGCGCTGCTGGAAAGGGAACAAGGTCCTCCAGCCCTCGAAACTCTTTTTGCCTCTGTTGCGCTCTGGCCTGCCCAGTCTCATGGCATTTCCCAGGGACTCGCCTACAATTGATCTTTGCTAAAGGCCAAGAGGCAATCAAGGTGAGTCTTCCCGTACTGCAGAGGTGCCCGTTTTGAGAGGATCGGGACTCCAGGGAGCCCCACCTGGGCGCTATTTCTCCAAACTGGCCCTGGCTGTTGTCACCTCAGGTGGGAGAGAAGCGACAGGTGCTCCAGGCAGCTTGGAGATTAGAGGCTCCCCAAGAGGAAGGAGGCCAGGACAGAGGCCCAAGCCTGGCAGCTCTCAGGTAACAGCGCCTGGGCCATCCCTGCAGGTGTCAAAACACTTCCTGTTAGTTACTGAATATTCGTCAATCCTTCCGGGCTTTCCCACAGAAATCTCTGGCTGGGACAACATATTCCAGTTGCTGCTGAGGAAGCAGTTGCAGGTCTTCAGGTCTGGATGTAAAAGAGGAGGACTGGCTATATGGCTGTATCCTGAAGCAACAGGCGGAGGGGCTGGCCTTGACAGCGGAGGGCTGTACTTTTTGTTTGCAGGCAAATACGCAGGACAAGAGCACTTAGGAGGACAGCGTGTGTAGCTTGGGCCCTAGAGGCCGTATTGACCCAGATTACTGGCAGCCCAGGCACTGTCCACAGGGAAAACCCTTTAGCTTCTAGTGGGGGATCCCTAGATCCCAGAATTCGCCATCCCTTCTGCCTCTGGGCCTTGGGAAGACGTGCCTGCCTCACCACTAGCAAAGCTGGCAGTGTCACCTCCTGACACCCCCTGCTCCCTCCCTGCTGTGTAAGGGGTCTGCAGACAGCACAGAGAGCTGGGACACTCACTGGCGAGGCTCGGGTGCTGGAGCGCACAGCGTCAGTGATGCGGGCCCCTGATCTTCCAGCCACGGAGGTGGGAGTGGGACAGAGGAAGGTAGCCATGCCCTGGGTGGCTTCCACAGGTGTCCCCAAGGAAGGAGGACTGGAAATGTCCTCTGGGGCTCCTGTGGAAGTTGAGAGAACTTGTGAGGGAAGTTGTAGAAGCTGGAACATGTCTTGTCTTTCGTGTGTGTGTGTGTGTGTGTGTGTGTGTGTGTGTGACAGTCTTACTCTGTTGCCTAGGTTGGAGTGTAGAGGGGTGATCACAGTTCACTGCAGCCTTGGCCTCTGGGGCACAAGCAATCCTCCTACCTCAGCCTCCCCCTGAGTAGCTTGGACTACAAGTGGGCACCATCATGCCCAGCTAATTTTTTATTTTTTGTAAAGATGGGGGTCTTGATAAGTTGCCTTGGCTGGTCTCGAACTCCTGGGCTCAAGTGATCTGCCCACCTCGGCTTCCCAAGCTGTTGGGATTACAGGTGTGGCCACCATGCCCAGCCAGGAACATGTCTAAAAGGGGATTTCTCACCTGGGCAATGTCACTGTGTTGGCTACTCACACACTCGAGAGGTTGCTGCTGGAGGCCTACCTGGAACAAAGGTCCCAGAACTCAAACACCCACAGAAAGACCAGGTGCCACTGGCTACCTCCCCAGTGGGTTTTCCTTTGGTGCCTGCGGACCCATGTGCACAGGGCATCCCTGCTCCCAATTCCCCTGAGCAGGGTGCCCCCAGTCCACTGATGTTACTGGCCCAAGAGGGTATGTCCCCACCTTCCCCTAACAGGGGCAGATGACAGGGAAAGCTGCACAGGGCTGTCATCCAACCAAGCGTGTGGTGAGAGTACCTCGGAATTATTTCACAGTTTCCTGCTGGTTTTAGGAGAAGAGATTCTAATCTAAATTATGTTCATAAATTCTAAATTATATTCATAATTCCACACTCATAGCTCCATGGGGCATAAGAAATGTAATTGTTAGTGGCTTCAGGTGAAAAGAAAACCCACAACCCTCCCACAAAGCACAGCACACCACAGATGTGAAATTTGATAACGCTCTTTCCTTCTCTCCGAGGTCTTGGCTCCCAGCTGACCATGGCATTCATTATGAGGCAGAAACTACCCGTCCTTCTAGCAGGCAGAAACTACCATCCATTCCAGACTTTGTGAGCAAGTCTAGAAAACAGAGTTGCTGAGATTCGTAAGGTGATCTGGCCAATTCTGCAAGATATGCAGAAACCTTCTAAATCTCCCCTAAACAGAGAGGGAGTTAGCAGCTATTTCTTCCACTAATAGCAGAAGATGGAGTCGAATTTATAGGACCCTAAGTCAGCTGAATTCAAAATTAATTTTTTTTTTTGAGACAGAGTCTCGCTCTGTTGCCCAGGATTGGGGTACAGTCTGTGATCTTGGCTCACTGCCACCTCCGCCTCCCAGGTTCAAGCGATCCTCCTGCCTCAGCCTCCCGAGTAGCTGGGGTTATAGGCACCTGCCACCACACCCGGCAATTTTTGTATTTTTAGTAGAGATGGGGTTTCA